ATCCCGCCCCCCGCTCCTTCCCCGAAAAGGGGAAGCCAGACAAAAGAGGCTGCTGCTCGCCTTTTGTTGGCGGCGGCGGCTCGGGGTTTGTGTTGGGGGGACGTCGGGATCACCCCTCCACCCTCCCCCAAAACCTTGATCCTGCCCGCGGGAGGGCAGCTTGCAAACGTGCCATCATTTTTTTTTCCCGAAGGGAAGCCGTGTCCCTGCACCTAGGCTCAGTGCCCTTCCCTTCTGCCTAGGGGGACTTCAGTCGTCGTCTTTTTAATTTTTTAAAAATCTAATTAACTTTCTGTAAGTTTTATCTCTCGACTTTCTCTTTTCAAAACTCTGAGACACATCTGTGGTTCCTCAGGACTGGCAAAACTAGAAGTAGGGCTTTTTTAGTTTGGTTGGCAGTGCTGAGATTTTTTTTTTCTTTTTTGCTTGCACTTGATTCTGTTTGCAAGAGATGAGGAATGACAGGAGTGCACATAGGGAGGGTTTCTTGGCTGATTACATTTAAGCCAGGAATTCACTGTGAAAATAAAGCCAAGGGGCGATAAATAAAAGATGCAATCTTCTCTAGGAGACAGACACCCAGCATGGGCTTTGCTTCACTTGCTTTCAGCACTGGAATAGGCCTCAGTGAGTAGTTGTGAAAGAAAAAAAAGTAACTTTTTGTATGGCTTCAAAAGGGGGGGGTGGCATTGAGTAATGTTGGCATGGGTCAATGTGAAGAAAGAAAATATGCATAAATACAACTGAAGTGTTGACTGCTGCTCCTGGAGCCCTTAAATGCATTCCAAGCAAGTGCTATACCTGCTGCTGAAATACATTTGCTTTTTGTTTTTTTGTTTGTTTTTCTTTTTTTTTTTTTTTCCCCCAACCTTATGTGAGCCTCTTTTGGAAGGCTGCACAAAAATAGTAGTGAAAGCTGGTGATATGAAACATGTCAGTTGTTTTGACAGAGGCCTTTGGCTTGCCTGGAGAGGGAGTCGTGGAGCATTTGGGTAGGCTGGGTCTTGCTGTAGGAAAGTTCTTGTGTAATTTGGATGGGTAGCTGTGTCATTAGGGCCGGCAAGATACTCCTTGTGAAGCAGAAAGGTTCAGCTGTTAAAGCCAATTCAAGTGGAGTGAGTTACACTGGGTGGAGAATGGAATTGGTTCCATATAATATGGCTGAATATGTATCACTGAGGAAAACTTAACATTGAGTTTATATAAGTGCATGTTTAGTGACCATATAAATATGAACTTATGTTCTTTGCCATATGAGTAATGGAAATTCTGTAAAAGTTTACTATTGTACTATGGAAAAGTGCTGTTGTTGGACAAAATGCATTTTATTACGTATCAGTTCTAACAGCCTTACATGTAACCCTAAGTATTAATATAAACAGGGAATACAGGATTTGATTTCTGAAGGAGATGCATAAATTTCAATTCAGTGGTAGTTAAATGGAATTGTTTGCTTCTGATTTCTAATTTTCTTTTTTTCAGTCTAGCCCTGAATAAACATTCAGACAAATTTATCATGGCAACTCATTTGAAGTGGGAGAATTTCAAAAACCTTGTGTCTATGTTCTCCTAAAAATCTTCATGTGATCCTGTTTTGTGCCCCCCCAACTTATCTCGTGTGTCTGATGAAAAGAAAATCCTAAATAAAATGAAGATGACACATCAGTGATATGAACAAATAATGTTCTTAATAATCAAGCAGTAAAGTTGTCTGCTAACCTATTTTGAAGTTGAATGATAGTGTCCTAGCATAATTAGCATAACTTAATTTTAAAAGATCTTTCTCCAAGAAAGTTGGTTCAAAATCTCATTTGCATGTTATTTATTGATGTTTTTATAGCTTTTTGATATGTTTCAATTTACACATGAAGTATCTTAATTTGTAGGGTATTTAAAAAAAAAAAGTACAGAATGCAGGCTCCTAAAGCAAACCTTTTCAACTGCAGGAAACAGAGCTTTTCTACCATACATGTTTTTCATTTATTTCAAACCAAGTATTTTTAGTAAAAATTGCAGTCTAAACATGAAAGCACTGTGTGAGTAAATACAACAATCTGGAAAGAAAATTAGAAATTGTGTTTCATTTGGCCAAATTTGTGAAGATGCCAGGAGCAAGCAGACAGTTTTAGATGGTGAAGTGTATATTTGGTTTCTGAGGTTAGTCCTGAATTAGTATACAGTACTGTATTGTCGTCACAGCTGCGGCTGTCAAGGTTAGGAAGAGGTGTGATCCCTCAATAGCACAGTTGACCTGGTGAGAGCCCTTAATGCAGCTATTCTAGGATAAGAAAAAAACCCTGTGCCTCTGCTGGTATGACTCTTCTTGCTTGAGGAAAGATGGAGATTGCCTTTGCCGTAGTGCTGTAAAGCTTGGCTTTATTTGCTGTAGCTGCATCCACATTAGAAGTACTTGAAGTGTTTTTTTGATATGTCATATAAGTACTCCTGGAGTATCCTTGTATGTCTGTAATTTGAGGTCGATTTGTCTTTGTTGCATAGACCCTGCTTGCTCATACAGGTCTTCCTTTAAGGTGTTACAGTCCTTTCCATGGCAGCATGAGGCTTTGTAATCACGGTAGTCATGCCTCTTAGGTATGAATGGCAAGGGAGTGAGTTGGAGGGAAGAGACTCCTAAGGAAGGAAAATAATGTAAAGAATTAATTGACTGGCACTTGCCATAGCTCTAGAATTTAATGTGAGCTAGAGAACTGCCTAGTCTGTGGAAGAGGGTTTAGCCAAACAGCCGTCATCAGTATGAACCTGCAGATTCATTTCTCTGAAGCGCTTCAGTGATATGTGATCGGGGGATGTAACCAATATACTTTTTAGAGAGAAACAAAGTAAAATTTATCAAGTGTAAAATAATGGTTGGAGATCCCTGGATGTTTCTTTCATTGGTTCTTAAATGAAGTTAAAGACTTGTGACTTTTTTACCAGTTTTCTTTCAATGAGTATTTATCTTTTGACTCAGAAGTGTTTTTATCATCTATTCCCCCCTTTTCATTTTTTCTTTTTTTTCTTTTTAAGTATGAACTAAAAGTTGGCGATTGCTTTAAAAACCGGAAGCCTTTTTTTTTTTTTTTTTTTTTCCCCCCCCATGAAGAGGAGAAAGCTTTACAAGACCATATTGGTAACTGCTACATGTAATCCTGGTGGAATGTGTATTGTAGTCAGCAAATTTAAGATCCTTTTAATGGATGATGATTCCAGTTAATAATTTTTTGTTATTTCTAGCCATCTGTACTCAAAATAACATGAAATTGTGGAACAAATGTAATTTGTCTTTTTTCAAGGTTTAGTTGAGTGCTAACAATATAATGTGAAACACCTTTCTGTTGGTACAACCACACCAGGTACTTCATTAGCAAAGCCAGTATAAATGTTTTTGTGCTGTGACGTGAAATGCACCTTTTAGGAGACATGATGATCTTCACTGATGCATGCAGTATATACCTAATTGTTGATGAGGCCTGTAGGACACAGGGATTAAGTAAAAAAATCGCATTTAATGCAAGTCACATGAAGTTGCATGACCAGATGAAGGCTGTCATTTGTGGAGAGGCAAGCCCTGTTTTTTGCCTTAATTTCTTGATGTCCAGTGATACCAAA